ACCCCCTTGCTTAAAACCCTTCCGTGGTTTCTGGTTGCTTTTTTTTTTTTTTTAAAGAAAATTTGTATTATTTTAATTATTTTTATGTACCGAAAACTCAGCAGTATACATTCAACCCAGTTTGGTGTGCCAAGTTCTTTAGCCTTTGCCTTTTTGAGCTTGGGAATGTGAGCCACAGACTTGGGACCCAGGATCTGGTTGCTCTTGAAATCAATCCAAACTCCTTTCTAGGTGCTTTGAGACCTGCATTACTTGGTCTGAGCCTTGTTCTCCCTCTGTTTCATCTCTCTTTCTCTCTTGGGGTTGTGCTTGATTCAAGTGCACTTTGGAGGTAGACGCCACGTCAGGAGATGGGTTGCAGGGCTGGCCCCACTGTTAGGCCTCTGCAAGAAACTCCCTGCCTCTTTTTCCTGTGTCATCCCCACCGTGTCACCCAGGTAAGGATGAAGGCTTTGCTCTTGCTTTGTTTGACCTATCAGAATTGGAGGACTCAGAATTCTTCTTTCTCCTTTCATTTCCACGCCATATTGAGTCCATCCTAAGACCTGTGAATTCTTTCTTCATATGTCTTGGTTCCCATCCCTTTCGTGTCACTCCCAGAGCTAAAACCTTAGCTATTATTACATCACACCTGAAATAATACAGCTTCCTAAATGCTGCCCCATCTGTTCCTCCTCACACCCAGATTAACTGGCATTCAGGACTTCTGTGTCCAGGAGCCAGAGGTTTTGTATTTTCTTTTATATTATCTGACAGTCCTAGCCCTTCATCCATGCATGTATAATCCATGTAAAGTGGACACTTATCCCTGGAAGTGGTAAGCCTTGAACTGGGCTCTGAGGCATGGATCAAGATTCAGAGAGGCTGAAGGGTAGGATAAGGCCTCATGGACATTAGCGAGGGTTTTGAGGCAGATGTGCTGGGTCCAGTATAGCAGAGTAGAGAATTCCCATAAAAGAGTAATAGGTAACCAGCTTGCATTGGGCTTTGGATGCCTTGTCAAGGCATTAGAAGAATCGGAATCAGTATAAGAATCATGGACATTTATAGGTTACAGACTGGGTTCAAGTCCTATTGCTGTCACTAATTAGCTACTTTAACTTTGAAATTACCCAGATTTCTCACCTATTAAAGAGAGACAATAGCACCCTCTCACAGGGTTGTTTTGAAAATGAAATCAGATCATACATACAGGTAGCTCACAGCTGTTCATGACTAGCATGTAATAGAGGTTGGCCATCATGATATTGGCCATCATCACCTTTATAATCATGACCTTTGTCATGATCATTATTTTTTGGATAGTGGTGAAGATTAAAGTTTTGGAATCTTTTAAAAACAAGAGGTAAGAGGGATAATATGGTAAAAGCTATGCTTTGAAGGGGTGGCTTTTTTAGGAGGTTAGCTTGGAAGATATCTGAAGAGGCATTCTCACTCAAGCGTGGGGATAGCTGGGCTAGTCTGCCAACAGCTATGATGATGTTTCCAGACATAGTATAAAAAATAGGCCAACAAGGCTTGATAATCCCACAGTTGTCAAAAATTAAAACAGAGAAGGAGTCTTGAAGCCAAAGAAACTTCACAGTTTTGGGGGTTCAGACGTGTGGGTGACCAAAGCGAATTGATCTGAAGCCAGGAGGTAAGCCATGATGGCGAGGAGAAGTCCAGAGGAGGAGGGCATTCAGAGTCTGAGAATGAGGCAGATTAGTGGAGTGGGACTAGTGGAGAGACTCCACAGAGGTGACACTGAGGTAGTGCTGGTATGTACTTCTCTGCTTCAGTTAAGGGTCAAAAAAGGCCGACCAGAGGTGAGAAGAAGGAAAGCAAGGAGGGAAGGAATGATACCAAACACTCCTCCTCAGAAAAGGCTGATTGGAAATGGGCCCATGAAGGACACAGAGGCCCAAGGTTATATTTAGGAAATAGTTGAACCACTAGGAAACAGGAAACAACATACTCTAAGGCAGTGATTCTCAAATTTGAGCTTGCGTCCGAATCACCTGGGGGCGTGTTCAAACCAGATTGCAGGGCCTCATCTTTTGACCTTCTGGTTCAGCAGGTCTGAAGTCAGGTCTGTGAGCTGCATGTGTGGTGAGTTCCCAGGTCGGCACCTGCTGCTGCTGGTCTAAGGATCTCATCTTGAGAACCACTACTTTAAAGTGGAGCTTTCCTACCAATAAAATAAATTAGAAAATATATATATAGCTAGTGTTTTGTCACTGCAACTAGGCGTAACTAGTTACAGATTATCTGTAAGAAGACTTCAGTGATTATACAGGATGCCCTCATCTGCAGGATGAATACCCAAGCATCCAAATTTGTGAACATGTAATCCAAACTGTTTAAGGCTGCTTGTTCAACACTCACTCACTTGAACTTTTTTTTTTTTTTTTTTTTTTTTTTGAGACGGAGTCTTGCCATCAGCCCAGGCTGGAGTGCAGTGGCGCAATCTCAGCTCACTGCAACCTCCACCTCCCGGGTTCAAGAGATCCTCCTGCCTCAGCCTCCCAAGTAATTGGGATTACAGGCATGTGCCACCATGCCCAGCTAATTTTCATATTATTAGTAGAGAGGGGGTTTCAACATGTTGACCAGGCTGGTCTCAAACTCCTGACCTCAGGTGATCTGCTTGCTTTGGCCTCCCTAAGTGCTGGGATTACAGGCATGAGCCACCACGCCCGGCCCACTTGAACATCTTGATGCTAAGAAAGGAGAGGAAAGGCAGTTCTGGAGTGAAGGAATTTCTCTGGCTTGTTCTGTTCTCCGTGGCTGAAGGACGTTTGCCTTTGATGACATTTAATCCCTCCTGCTTAGGGTGTGCAGTGCATGTGGCTCAGGTTGAAGAGCTGGTCTTTTCCACTCCTTCATTTTCAAGGACATAGAGTGAATAATTAATAGTGAGAAATCCTGTTCTGATCATGTGCAGGTTTTTCTGCCAGAAGAATGTCCACTGAGGTACAAGGAACTGTCCTAGCCATACATGCAGGCTTGTCCCTCTTTGACGAACATGTCGGCAGCTTTGGAGGCAGGAAGGAGGAGATTCAGTCTGTGTATGCATTGTCTAGAGTCTCATTAGCACCAGCCCTGGTCAAGGACTAACAACCCACAGCCTTTGTCCTTCCTCTGCCTTTGTCTGAATCAGCTTCTAAACAGTGGGAGGACCGCCACAAAGGCAGGAGATTGGTGGGCTACAGACCAAGTTGGACTTCCTGTATCTTAGTATTGTGGCAGTGGATTGGTTTCACGCATCCTTGAAAATAGTTACTCCCCCATGCCCCCAAAATGAGAACCAACTTTTGCAAGTTGGCTCAGAAAAAGAAAAAAAGCTAGTTAAATCCCTTTGATTAATGCTCTACCACTATTGGCAAAAATAGTCTGATAATATTTTTAGGTAGACCTTTTCCCTTGGTTTGTTTGCTTAAGGTGAGCTAGTGTCTCTTTCATTACTTGCACCTCTATTTAGGAGCCAGAGCCTGGTTGATGGTTCTATCCTGGTTGGAAAAAACAGATGTTAATATATTTGCATCTTCAGGTTCATATATGATATTATTTTTTAGTTCTCTTGAAATTAAAGTGAGCCTTACTTCATAAACTGATCCTTGCCAAGTAAAGTCGTCCTGTTGTAAAAATGGACAGAGCTCTGGGTGGGTGGGGGCATGGTGCCACACATATGAAAGAGGGCTGGACATGGTAATATGGTTTGGCTGTGTCCCCACCCAAATCTCATCCTGAATTGTAGCTCCCATAATCCCCATGTGTCATGGGAGGGACCCCATGGGAGGTAATTGAATCATGGGGCAGTTTTTCCCATGCTGTTCTCGTGATAGTGAGTAAGTCTCACAAGAACTGATGGTTTCATAAAGGGCAGTTCCCATGCACACACTCTTTTGCCTGCCTCCATGTGAGACGTGCCTTTGCTCCTCCTTTGCCTTCTGCCATGATAGTGAGGCCTCCCAGCCATGTGGAACTTTGAGTCCATTAAACCTCTTTTCTTTGTAAATTACCCAGTGTCAGGTACATCTTTATTAACAGCATAAGAAAGGACTAATACACATGGGTAACACATAGAATTAAAGAAATGGCATCCTTGCCAGTCTTTTGGATTATGAGTCTGATTTTTCAGTCTCTATTCACTACTAATGTTATAGGTTTATTAGTTCAGTTGTCTAGAGTTGTGCTTCCTAATCTTTTTTTGCATTAATATCAGAGCATTTGCATGAAACACTGGGATAAATGAAGGAGGTAGACCCATCCTCATCCCAGGGCTGAGGGCATCAGTTGCTCACAACACACTTGTGACCCGTTAGTGGCATACCAGGTGGCTCTAATTTTGGGCAGAATTGTGCATTTGATCTGTTTGCAAGCCTTTTAGCTTTGACCTGTTTCATGACTAGAGCTATACATTCGCCCACGAAGGCACTGGGTTGGTAGGTTTATTGGAAGTACCATGCAAGAAGGCCTGAATGGGGCACCAGACCTACTACTCCTGGAAAAACAATTCAAAGCACATTTCATCTATAACAGCATGAATCATATTAATATTTTCATTTTCTTTCCTCACTAGGAAGCTGTGAGCCACTTACAGCAGCTGAATAGAATGGGGCTGCTTTCTTGTCCATGGCTCTATTATTTTCCCTTATTAGACATTCCTGATTTTTTACTATTTCCTTTTGTATTATGGTTATTTTTATAAGCCACTTGAAATCCTTTCTGTGGGTTGTGGATTATGGAAGAGAGCAAATAATTTAAAAAGAAAACTCGAAATACACTTCTTTACCCATTTTGCATCTGTCATGTCTTTTTTTTTTTTTTAATGCAGACATAATATTTTCACCCTTTAATAAAATTGGTAACTGAATACGGTATTAGTCATAACATGAAATAATGTTCCTTTTTAAATGTGATGATCATCTTGTTTTATTTCCCCATCTGCAAGATGAGAATAATAATTATCCCTTTGAAAATATCATATGGTCAAATTAGTTAATGTTGGACAAGCATTTCAAAATGAAGCTACCTAATAATTTATTAGTGGCTTCACTGGTGTGCAATTTGAGAATGAAGTCTGCATTTGAGGATTGGCATTTGCATTAATTCATGTTTTCCCTTAAGTTCATTACAGAGGTCTAGTTTGTATTCTCTCTGCTGGGTAGCACATGTCTCGTGGCCATTCCCTCCAGAAGTCTTGTTTGAGTAATCAGAAGTCATGTCCTGAAAGGGAAAGTGAGCAAATGAAATTGCTCAGGTACTTCTCTTAAATGGAATCACTTGTTTGCTTTTTAATTAAGATGAGACTTTTGATTAAAGCAGAAATCTTATGGCATTGTATTTCTACTCTATGCCCCTTGAGATCCATTGCTCGACCCTGAAATGAATGATTTCAGTTATATCTTAAATGACAGTGAATGAACTCTATTTCACGTGCCAGCATTTTCTTCATGTTACTTAGATAATTAATCTCTTCCTAATTCAGAAAGCATGACATTTTTATATAGTCATAAAGACAGCCAAGGTGGACAAACACATAATAACAAACTATAGTAATAGTTATAATTCATTGAGCACTTTTGTTCCAGAAGCTTTGTGCATATTATCTCTAATACAAACCTGAAAAGTATTTACAGATCAGGAGCCTGAGATCAGAAAGGTTTGACTAACACAAAGTCACATAGCTAAAGAGATGGGATGCTGGGATTTGAACTTACATCTATCTCTAGAGCTTTGATTTTTCTATTTAATTTGTATTTTATGAAAATCATTAAAGCATATTTTTCTTTTATTTCTATACACTTCAGGGAAAGCTATTTTTTGAAACAATTTATTGAGTACTAAGAGGAGTTATGTCCTGATGGACTGGGGTTAGATTAAATGATCCTCCTGTTCAGTTGGAGCTTTAAAATTATATAAATCTATATGTGTGAGAAATTCTCGCTATATTCAATGTTTTTTTTTTTTTCAGTGCTACTCTCTACAGAACTCTGTGGCAAACTGCAGTCAAATAAAACTCATAAATTCACAGAATGCAATTCCTCCTTGTCAATGAAATGAAATCAGAAAATTTCACTTTTCACTCAAATAGGCTATAAATTTATATGATACAAATTCCCATATTAACAAAGTCAAAACATTTTACTTACCTGCTTTTCAGTTAGGTTAGGATATTTCTTCTGTTTAAGTTGGGATGTGTCAATAAATAGTGTTTCCCATTGCAGCTCACAGGCAGAGAAACTGAAACCGTGCTTGGTAGTCTTCTCATTCGTATCTTTTCAACAGCAAAAAAGTCATCTCTCGAACCTGAAAAGAGATCGACTTGCCTTAAAGTAAATACCAAGTTATCAATACTCTGAGAATCTGTCTACTTTTGAAGCTGTGAGATTTGATTTTTCTCTGAGAGCATATACCCATCCCTATACCATTGTGTCTGAACTGCTTAACAGAGAACATCTAGAAGTCATACTGGTGCCCATATTTAAAATATTTATTTAAAAGAAACTAGTCACAGATGGAAATATTTCTAACTAAAAATTATCTTTCTCAAGTATAAAAACGTTTCTCAAAATGAGATGTTTCCCATATAAAGTCAGTTCATTGTGGGCTTAGGGAACTTTATCTTCCATTGCCAATGAAAGCCTTTGATTGGCGAGCTTTTCTTCGCCTTAAATTTGAAACTGGAGTATGTAAGCAGAGTGTGGATCTAAGTGGAAAAACTGGCCTAAATTATGTGAGTTTCAGAATTATCACTCCATATTTATTTGAACAGTTTCCTCTAAAGGGGAAATTTTTGTTTAATATTTGAATACGTTTATTTATAAAAAACGATAATCAGTAGACATTTGTATCCTATTAGATTTAAGTTGTTCTCCATTTTCTCTTTGTGTTTTCCATATCAGGGCTAAGTTTTTATATATCTTATGACAGAGTATTTACATTACCATTGAGAAATAGCAACGATTTCACATATGGCCTGTAATATGTGACCATTGATCGTTTTCTTGACATATGCAGCCTTCCCTATGTCTCTTAAACCCAGCTTCTCCACCTTGTCCTGTCTTGGGTTCTGCACACTGCAGAAAAATGGCCAGTAGAGGGTGCTGCTGGCTTACTTTTTAGAAAACTCCCTGCCTGATTTCAGCACTTTTAAAAACATGGAAATTATCTTAATTCAGTCAAAGCAATCAGAATGAGAAAACTGTCTTAAATTCTTCAAAGTTGTTTCTTTGTGTCTTTTGCTATTTTGTTTCCCCAAAGGCATCAATAAAGCAAGGCAATTAGTGTTTCTTCCCTCTTCCGTGGAGCCCTTAGCTGACCCATCGTAAGGATGAGTATGGTAGTTTAGGACAACCGGGTGTGATTATCTAATTTTTCCATCAGCTTGAGGTTCTTATGTGAAAGTTCTATTCATGGAGAGCCAAAAGAAGGGGAAAATAAAAGCCTGTTTACACTTTTACTTTCCAGCTGGCCTTGCCAGTTATCCCCTGACCTGGTTCAATGACGAGAAAATATCTGTACGACCTTGGCCTCTGGATTGTGGACTGGGGAGGGGGTGTCTGTGGCTTCAGTAGTGAGAAGCGGGTGGGAGGGGCATGATTTTATAGACTCAAAAGCCTTCTCTCCTTTCAGGCAGGCAGTGCTGAGAGGTGATCTGAGGAAGACCTTTTATATCCCTTCCAGCACCTCCGTTCTTTGAGATGAACTATTGACAGTCCCTCAATATTTATAAAATATTATAAACTGCTATGTAAATACAGTGTCAAGTCAAAGTTTCTAGCCAAAGCTCTCCCTAATACCCTTCCAAAGAAAATGCTATGCCTAAGCACCTCCTCCTAAGACCACTTATATAGGTATATTTACAGAACCCCACCCCTAACCCCTTCAGTCATTCAAGAATAGTACAAGTTGCTGAAGACGTTGTGGTGAAATAGAAAGTATCAAAAATACCATGGGGCATTGCATTTGCTAGTAATGTTTGTGGTGGCGTCAGTGTGTGCCAACAGCATCGTGATAAAGTTCTCGGTGGATCTGAACTTCGCTTCATGTGGTTTTTCTTCACCTTGGGGGCACTGGGCACTCGCCGTCCTTCATAGCTGGTAGGTGCCACTTTTGGCCGGCCCCGTAGCTGGCTGCAGTCAGCTGTCCTTCCACAGTATGAAAAATGTCTTCCATTAGCTAATGGCTGTGTTCTCCATGAAACATTCTGCCCCTTGGCCTGGGGCTGCAGGAGAGCATCAATCAAGTCTCTTAGATGAGGCCTCAGAGGACCAAGGGAAATTTGTATAATCCTGAACTGTAAACATGGGGACCAGTGGTTGAGGTTTTTGGATTTGAACAACATTTAAAAATGTCTATTTGAGTATCTAAAGTAAACCTTTATTTTAAAGAGAAGCTGAGGCTTGCTGGGTGGCCTTTAGGAGGTCAGCTGACCTTTCTGCCTCTGTTTCTCTGTCTTCAAATTGGTGGAGGGAGTAAAAAAAACCTTACTCTTCTGTTGCACAGGAGAATCCATTTAACCTTGATTGATTAAATTATATGAGGAATTAGGCTTTCTTTACGCCACTTCACACCATGTGGGCCACATTATAATTTCCTTGCCCCTCGGTCTAAGTGTCCACTAGTGATCACTGCTACCTGTTATGGTATTTTGTTGTTGTTGGTGTTCCTGTGGGTCTGTAGTTTTCTTTTCTGTCATTTCCTTTCTCTTCTTCTCCTCCCCACTTGCTAACCAAAGAAGAAGAGCTAAGGTGCTCCCACCCTTTCTGATGGCAGCAAAACAGCTTCTTGTTCATGAGGGAAATGGAAGCATAGATATAAAAAGGAGAGAAGTGGTGGGGGTTGTGCATGTGCGCACATGTGCATGTGTGGGTGTGCATGTGTGTGTCATTTAGCAGTTGCCTTTTTTTGTTATGGTTTGTTGCTGTTGGCACCTGTAAAAGCAGTCAGGCTGAAGAAATTCCTTTGGAAAAAGAAAGAGCTAACTTGCTAGAGGTGAATGGAAGGTTGCTAAGGCCTTGAAGGGAAAATTTATAGAGAGCTGACTTTTCTCTATTTTCCTCTGCATTGCTTATTTGAAATTCTTTATTGTTAGGACACATTTTTGTTTACCATGCCCCCATTATTTTCCCATAAACAATATCATAAATATTTTCATTTGGAGAACAGCCTCGATTTCCCAAAATTCATGACTTTTCCATTTTAATAGACAGTGTATCAGAACATAAATCTTGCGAGATATTCTTAAAAGAGTACTGCTCAGAAGTTTCAGGAACTGTGTTTTACTTTAGCCTTTGAAGACAAGATGGGCGGGACACTGAAGAAGTTGCTTTTGTACAGAGTAGACAACTCAAATATTATGGAGTGACAGTCTAATGACAACATGCTGATTGTTTTCTCAGTAATAAAATCAGAGTTTTGCCATGTATTTTTTTATATTTATATAAGGCTAGGAACTCTTGCAAATTAGCAATTAATTCTACTGAAATATCTGAGTAATGTTTTCCATAAGTTATACTATCCTCCTCTCAAAAAAAAAAAACAAAAAATCTAGACATAATATTTTATTACTGAGCCTATGTTACAGATTTACAGGTTTTTCCAAAGGCTAGGAAATAACTTATTTCTGGGTTGGCTAGTTAAAAATATGCCATGCTAATTTTATCTCTAAATACCGTGTGATTTCTATTCTATTTTCATAAATATAAATTAATTTCACAAACATAGAGTTAATCAGGTTTGATGTTTAGTTTCATGTTTCTACATAATTTAAAAATCAGCTTCTTTTCATGGCCACTTGTAGGTAAATATGAAAAAACAAAAGAGAAAAAGTGATGACATCATGTGAGAAAATCTGCAGCTGTTGATAGTTTTAATTAAGAGGTCTAGCTGGACTGGACTCTGGGCAAACATTTTATTGCCCACTAACTAACATGTCCTCTCTGTGTGAGCCATCACATACCAAATTAAAAAATCTGTTTTTGACATTTAAAACAGCTCAAAATCAACATGAAAATTGGCATGCTCTTCTCATAGATAATTTGGGGGAAATATGCAGTGAGAACAGGAAAGGTGTATTAACTTCTTAAAAAGTAATCTTTAGGAGCAAACTGAAAGAGTTTTCAGCGGTCAAAGCTGGAACTACTTGAGCAGTGAAATGAATAGCGTATTATTGGATTATTCTCAAAAGTAGAAAATACATACTAGGGAGTCCATAATAAAGTAAAAATAAATGATGCAATGAATAATGGAAGAGAATAGACAAATCTCCCATACAAAAGGAGCTCAGATAATTTATGTAGATTTTGTATCTTCAAGGAGGTGGAGCATAGCTCCCTATACCTGAAGTGTGGGGTTCTGCATAGCAACTCCTTTCCAAGAAGCACAATATGGGAAGTGGTGGAAACAGTAATTTTATGGTCAAGGAACTGGACAGATACTGCTACAGCCAGGCAATCACGGTCAACATCAACAGCGATGAATCATTAGTAGCATGTGCCTTTAGAATGAGATGATGAGGGCCAGGCACAGTGGCTCACACCTGTAATTCCAGCACTTTGGGAGGCCAAGGTCTGCCAAGGGCAGATCATGAGGTCAGGAGTTCAAGACCAGCCTGGCCAATATGGTGAAACCCAATCTCTACTAAAAATACAAAAATCAGCCAGGCGCAGTGGCAGTTGCTTGTAATCCCAGCTATTCAGGAGGCTGAGGCAGGAGAATCGCTTGAACCTGGGAGGCGAAGGTTGCAGTGAGCCAAAATGGTGCCACTGCACTCTAGCATGGGCTACAGAGTGAGACTCCATCTCAAAAAACAACAAAAAAAAGATGATGAGAATGGCACTTCACTTCTGTAGTCTTCCTCCTTCACACCCCCAAGCCCGGTCTAATCATGAGAAAAACATCATGCAAATTTCACTACCAGAATATTATAGAACATACTTGACCTGTTTTCCTAAAAGCTCAAGGTTATCAACAACAAAGAATGTCTAGTGGCACCTAAGGAAACATGATGAATAAATGTAATGCGGCACCCTGGATGAGATACTGGAGCAGAATAAGGTAATTAGGTAAAAGTTAAGAATTATAAGTAAAGAATGGACTCTAGAGAGTGTCCATATTGGTTGAGACAAATGACACAGTAACATATGATGTGAGCAACGTGGAAATTTGTCGAGGGATCCGTAAGGAGACTGTACTGTCTTCGCAAGTTTTCTTTAAACTACTGTAAAATTAAAAGTTCATTTAAAAATAATTCT